GTGTTGGGTGTGTAACTACCCCAGACTCCTCAGTTTGTCTAAAAGTAATTACAGCTGGCAAGGTGGCACATGTCTGGAATCCCTGCCCTCTAGGAGGCCCAGACACGAAAAGTACAAGTGCGAGCCCTTCCCTGGGCTGTTCAGTGAGACCCTCACCCAGAGTGAGAATAAAGGACGGGGGCTGTAACTAGTGGGAAGGCCCTAGGTGTTCAATCCCCTGTACTGCAGGCGGGGAGGAGAAACCTAAAAAGTAAGACCTTACTCTCACTTTATAAACTTTAAAGAATTCTAGTAGGTTCTAGGCCTGCTTAAAAATATTTGTATTGTAAATTATAGCTGACAACTCATGGTTCTGAACAAACATTAATGGCTTAATTTAGGGTTCTTAAAACTGCTGTGTAGTTTTAGAATCTTTCTAGGTTTTCTGGTATCAGGCAGTGTAACAGTTACAGAAAAACTGTTTTATTGGACCCAGGATTTAGGTTTATATCCTTACATACCTGTCTCTCCTACTTGAATCAACTGAGTTGTGCTCAGTTCTTTAACTCCCTCCCTAGTGCAAAAAGTAAACTAAGAGCTGAGTGACTTTGAAGTTGTGTTACCTTGTAGTGAGTACAAAGTAAATATTTTGAGTTAACATTTATTATTACTGTATTTCTGCCTCAGGTCAGTAGCAGATACATGCCCTTGCTTAGTGCTAGAGCAGAAGTCTGGAGATTAGAGAGCGCTTCAGTCTTCACATCATAGAGCAGCACCTGCAAGGGTCAGCTCACCTAAGCATCCAGAACTTCTTTTCTTACCTGCACATCCGTGCAGCAGTGCTGTCCAGTAAGGGAGTAAAATAACAAAACTTGAATAATGTAGAATCTTTGTTTGTTCGTATTGGTTACTTGGCTAGGATAATCTATTCATATTGATGACATTGTTGGGGTAATAAGTTGACTATACTAGCTAGCTACATAATTAAAATTAAATTCATTCATTCCTCTTCTTAAAATGCCACAGGAAATTTAAAATTCTGTATGTGACTCATTTCTAGCTTGTTGGTGGTGGTTTTTTTTGAGAGGGTCTTGCTGTGTAGTTCAGACTGGCTTTGAACTCACTGGAATAGCCCAGACTGGCTTCAAACTTGTGATCCACCTGCCTCAGCCTCCCAAGTGCTGGGTTAACAGATGCAGGCAGCCATGCCCAGCCTCATGTTTCTATTAAACAGTGCTAGTGTGTACACTGTTTGGTAAACTAATTTGTGAAATACTTGGGTTCCACAAGACATAGTTTAGCAGAGGAGCACTGCTATATAGCTTTCTGCAGTGATGTAAGGTTTTTGTGCTGTGAGTAGTCTCTACAAGCTACAGTGGTGACTAAGCATGTGAAACATTGTAGTATGGAAAAAGGAACTGAATTATATTTAATTTTATTTAATGTTAAATTTTATAGCCACATTAAAAAATTTAAATAGCCACATATGTTTAATGGCTAATGTAATGTTAATGGCTATTGAAATGTAATGTGATTTTTGAAGATTTATGGGTTCTTTTCTAGATACTTCTACATCTAGGCCTTGTTTATCAAATTTCAGACTTTAAGGGTTAGGGTTAGGCTTAATAGTAAATGTTTTGGTCATCAGTTTTTCATCACTGAGGCAAAACACTTGTCACCCACAATTTAGAGTAGGAGAGGTCTATTTTGGTTCACGATTTCAAAGTGTTCATTCCATAATCAGCTGGTTCCTTGGCAGAAAAGGCACAGTGAGGTGGCTGCTGCTGATGGAGGGTTCTTTGGCTTGGTGGGGGCGGCGATCTCCCCTGATCACTTACTTGGAGGCAAGGGTAGGAATCATCATGCTGGAGCTGTACTGGAATCACCTGCAAAAGACCTGTAAGAAATTCCCTGAGTTAGTCCTGTGTGGTTGTTACAACACCAGATTCCACAGAATCACCAAGGACTTCATGGTCCAGGGAGGTGCCTGACAGGGACAGGTCACAGTGGCACTTCTGTCTGCAGTGAACAGTTTAAAAGTAACTTCACCCTGACCTCAAGTTCAGTGGGGCTGGAACCCACACAATGGCCAGTGTATGGCCAGACACCAGTGGCAGCCAGTTCTTTGTGACCCTCGCACCCACCCAGTGGCTCAATGACAAGCACACCACCTTTGGCCAAGCATACCAGAGGGTTGGCATGGTGAATTGTATGGAGATGGTGGAGACCAGCTCCCAGGGCTGCCTGAGGAGGATGTGGAGGTTTTCAAGGGGTACCCCTCTGGGTAGACCTCTGATGTATTGGACGCAGCCCTCTTGGATGAGCCTGAGTGATGCTGACTCTGAACTTCCTTTAGGCTTTGCAGACCATGGGGTCCTAGGCGAGCCACAGACGGATGCACATCTTACTGGGTCTGGGTTGACAGGATTTTGGTGGCACCCCCCTCAGTGACCCATTCCTGTCTTTCCTGTGGCTCTGTGCTGATACACTCAGATCAGAGGGATGCAAACTCGGCCCTTTATAGATCCATATTTCGGCCACCCTCCAAACCCTAGTGGGGACTGCCCCAGAATTCCAAGCACGCCACGTCTGGGACCTGTCACCTCCACAGACCCACCCCAGTCTCAGCTTGGTGCTTCCAGGAAATATGCATGCTTCTTCCTGTTTTCTCAAAACCAGAACATTGACACTGCTGCTCGGAGACGTAAACATCCCACACAAAGCCACGTTGGGTTTTTGCCAGATGAAAAATGCATCCAGCAATCAAGTTTCTAGGGAGGTGTCTAGGGAATGGTAGTGTATGATGATCATGAATAGAGTTAACAGAAGGAAGCAGAAACACTGAGCATTTGTTCCCTAGGAAAGGGTAGAAATCCCCAGAACTTGAGGACAGACTGCAGCCTTCCTCAGAAGCAGTACCTCAGAAGAGGAGGCATCACTCAGTTTTTTAAATTAAGACCAGAGAAATTAGTTAAGAGTTTTGTACATTTGTAAAAAATCGTGATGGGAAAGAAGGAAGTTAATACCTTTTTAATATATAGATTCATGTGTGGGCGATGGGCCAGGACAGCCAGATGCCAGCTCCTTCCTATTGGCACTATTCACAGGCTGCAGGGAGGAGAACACTTCCTGGGAGTCAGCACCATGTGCGGGCTGCAAGGAGTACAACCAGACACCAGCCCTTCCCACTGCACAGGCTGGGAGACAAGAAGGCCCAAGGTCCCCTATCCCTTCCATGAGCTGGTCTGGAGTAACACAGGCTGCGATGGTGGCTACTGAAGTAAATGTGCAACTTAATGATTGTGGTGTTTAGGGTTCCACTGACTTTGCAGGCCTGAAACCCGTAGTCTGATCATCTGCTCAGAGGATAACAGTACACAGTGTAGTATCTATGGGAATCTCCTTCTGAGGTGGTAGCCATTGTTAATACCCTATTATCTTGTTTTAAAGTCCTGTAACGTTTTCCTTGTTTGGTTTGGTTTTATTCTGTTTTGTCTTGTTTGATTTTGTTGTATCTGATGGCACGGGCAGCTATTTCAAAGATAAGATATCAAATGGTAACTATTTTGGGTTTACTGTTACATTGTTTTGAAGTCCTTAACTGCACTCATTGTTTGGTTTTTATTTTATTCTGTTCTATTTTGTTTGATTTTGCTATGTATGCTGGTATGGGCAGCTGTCTTAGTATAGGGAACTGAACTCAGGACCTAGCACTTGACAGGCAGGGGTTGTGCTGCTGAGCTATATCGTGCGCCCTGGGCAGCTATTTTGAAGACAAGAGGCATCATGGTAGCCATTGTTGATTTCCTATTATCTTGTTTTGAAATCCTGTACCACTTCCACTGTTGTGTTTTGATTGACTTTATTCTGGTGTGGTTTTCTTTGGCTTGGTTTTGTTCTCTAAAATAAAAAATTAAAAATACATAAATTCATCAAAATAAAATGCCATCTGTTGATGGTAGAAAAAAAAGAAATAGTTTGGTGGTAGGGCTTGGTGGAGGACAGCTGCCCCACTCATGGCAGTCAGGAAACAGAAGGGAGGAGCCAGGGACAAGAATCCACCCTTCCGAGTCACACTTAAGGTATTACCTCCAGATGGTCCCGTGTCTTAAAGCACACTCAGCTACTATGAGCTCATCCATTGGTGAATTAATCCACTTATGAATGAGTGTAGAGGATTATATCATCCCGTGACCTAGTCACCTTCCAAGAGCCCATCTCTGAAAACCTAAGACTGCTGGGGGACATTTTAGATCCGAACCATAGCATTAAGTTATATTTATCATGAGTGATAGGGAATGGTTAGTAATATTTATTGTCTCTTATACAGTAGACTTGGTATAACTATCAGAGACAGTTTGTATAACTATTTAGAGTCGTTAACTGTCATTCATGTTTGTGATATACTTGTTAATGCATTGTGAATTCTAGTGTATTGTGTGGTTTTAGATACTTTCCTCAAAGTCTGGTTTCTTTTCTTTTCCTTTTCTTATGTGGGTCCTTCCAAAACAAGGCTCCTTTTGAAAAGTCTGAGCAATGTGCTGCCTTTTTAAAAGATTTTCTCTTAAAAGGCAGACCCATGCTTTTAACAGGTGACCATGCCGATAAAAGGTTTTTTTTTTTTTTAACGTTTTGAAGTTAAACTTACTCTTTTGGTTCTAAAGAGGGTGTATACTTGGTTGTCATCCTTAACTTGAAAATCCAGTTCTGAAGTGCTCTCAGATCTAGAACTTTTGAGTACAGACGTGATGCTCAGGAAATCTCAGGTTTCAAGAGTTTTTGCAGTAGAGATGTTATACCTAAAAGGTCTACGTGGACATTCCAAAATCTGGAAAATTCTGAAATCTGAAGCACTGGTCCCAAACATTTGAAATAAGGAATATTCAACATGTACAACAAATACACATAAACATAAGTGCCACAATTTTGTAATACTTACTTACTCTCTTTTTTATGTAGTATACATGTCTTTATAAATGCTAGTATTATATTGTGTTTATTAATTTATTGTTGCTTCACAGTTAAGACTGAAGGTCATCATGTCTGGCATCAAGCGAACAATCAAAGAAACCGACCCCGATTATGAGGATGTATCTGTGGCTCTTCCAAATAAGCGGCATAAAGCAATTGAGAATTCAGGTAGAAATTAACCATCTTAGGAAATTATTACTTTGTTGATATTTGCCTCTATTCTTAGATTTATAGGAATTGGGATAAATTTCCTCTTGTCTCAGCCCGTGAGTGCTGGGATGACAGTCAGGTAGCATATGCACAGCTGGCTGTCTTTCTAGACTTTTAATATTTCTTTTTTGTTTGTTTTGTTTTTTTGGTACCGAAGATCGAACTCATAACCTCGCACTTGTTGGGCAGGCACTTGGGCTGCTGAACTACATCCCCGGCCCCTTTGACTTTTAATATTTCAGTGGTCCAAGCTAGTTATTTTGTAGAATGTCCGTCATACTGATTTCATCTAATGTTTCATTGTGAGCAGTGCAGTGCTAGGGATGAACCCAAAGCCTAACACACACTAGGCAAGCACTCTGCCACTGGGCTGTATCTCCAATCCTCTTGTTGTATGTTTGGTCTTATGTTTTATTTTGGGAACAGACTTACTAAATTGCCCTGGCTGGCCTCAAACTTGAGGACCATCTGCCTCAGCCTCCCATGTAGCTAAGATTACAGGTGCACATCTCTCTTGTTATGCATTGGCACTTGTGGCAAGAATATCAGTGATGCAGAGGTCTTAGTGCATCACGTCCGAAAGCGCATGAGGTTAGCTTGTTCCCAGGAGGAGTGGTTTTAACTTCCCATCCCTCGGGTGAAGGTTTGCCTACTAGGTTTCTCTGCTCTACAATTACTATTTCTTGGGTTTCTTATGCTTGATGATTTATATTGGGACAACTGTGGATTAATTAGGACTTTGTGCTTTGTGTTCTTTGTAGCTCGAGATGCTGCTGTGCAGAAGATTGAGACTATTATCAAAGAACAGTTTGCTCTTGAGATGAAGAATAAAGAACATGAGATTGAAGTTATTGACCAGGTACAGTGATAATATATTGAAAAAGCAGTCTTTTGAGACAGTCATGATTTGCCTTTGCTGTTCTTTAAAAAAAAAAAAAAAACAAAAAAAAACAGCTTTTTAGGGAAGCAAATATTTTTAACAAAAATTAAGGGGAAAAATAACAAAACCCCTTAAATTCCATCCCCAAACACAGTCAGTCCCTCTGCTCTTGTGCTCAGTATCCTTGTGGATATGTCTAATGAATCAGGTATACTTACTGTTGTTTCGGTTTTTGAGACAGAATTTCACTATAATCCTATCTGATCTTGCAATCTTCTTGTCTCAGCCTCCCAGTGCTGGGATTATACATGTACACTACAAATACGTGTTAGAGTGTCTTCATACCTTACATCACATTTTTGTCTTTTAAATCTTTGCCAGTCTGATAAATCAGAAATGTCATTTTTTCTTTGCGTTTTTTTTACTAGAGAAGTTGAGATTTTCTTTTAGAGAAATTGAACTTTTTTTCTTCATTCGCATTCTTACTTTGTGAATTGCTGTAGTTTGCAGTTGTGGTATTTTAAAGTAATGAGTTAACACTTGTTTTTAGCGGCTGATTGAAGCGCGGAGGATGATGGATAAACTTCGAGCCTGCATTGTAGCAAATTACTATGCTTCTGCGGGTCTTCTGAAAGTTTCTGAGGTAAGTATTCCCTGCAACCAGTCATTTTCCTAGCTGCTATATTTGTTTTGCATCATGGGCTTCAGAAAGCCCAGGCTGCCTTTCTAGGGAAATGCACAATCTTCTCTATTGAGCATTGGGTTCACCTGTGGTCCTTCGGTCATCTCTCTGTCATCAGTGGCCCGGAGTCACATTTTTCTGGTTCTTACTAATTTTTTTTCCTCCTGATTGTTAGCATTATGCATGGCCATAGAGATGCGGGGTGAGTGAGTCCTCCTGAGACATGCTCAGCTGCCGTACACCTGACTGTGGCCTGCTCTGGAGGAAGTCATAGACGATGCTGTTTCCTCCTACCTTCTACTCCAGTCATGGCAGTTTTTGGTTTCTGATTTACCTTGTTCTGCAAGTCCTGCATTTTTATGACAGAATCCAAATGCACAGAAAAGGGTATTAAATAAGCACCTGTTTGTGTACCACTTAAGACTCAACAACTTTGACATTTGCCCTATTTTCTCTTACTTTTCTTTAATACATTTGCAAGAAACTTCCAGGTGTCATTATAGTTCAGTTCTAATTATTGAAGCATGCAAGCATGCATTTTCTAAAAAAAAGATAACTTCCTTGTAATAAAATAATATCCAAGCAAACCATTTTCTATTATTTGTTAACCAGTCCAAATTCATATTTTCCTAGTGGCTCCCAAAACCTTTTAAGATTTTTTTTTAAGACCAGTATTCATCAAGGTCTGTGGGTTATATTTGGTTGTTTGTTCCTTTGTTTCTCTCTCTCTGTGTCTGTCTGTCTCTGTCTCTTTTCTGTCTTGTCTCTATATTTGCCTGTCTGTCTGTCTTTCAGTTAAACCCAGGGCTTTTAAGCTGAGCTACCACTCCAGTCCTTTTTATTTTTTGAGACACATCACTCTAAACCACTAAGTTGCCAGGTAGGGTTCGAACTTGTGATCTTCCTTAGCTTCCTGTAATGCCCATTAGGATCTACATTCATCTCCTAGGGTTCCCATAACAAATTACCCCAAGCTTGGTGACAAAACAACAAGGACATATTACTTCACAGCCCTGGTAGCTGGAAGTCCAGAATAAAAGTGTCAGCAGTGCAATGTTCCCACTTAAGGCCCTGGAGAAGAGTCCTCTTACCTTTCACTAGCTGCTACATTGCTGTGACTTTTGCCTCTTACTCTGCATGGATATTTTCTTTCTGTGTGCCTTTTCTGAATCTTTTGTGTCTTAAGTTGCTGTCTTTTAAGGATGTCTTGGAGTAGGGTTTCCTACTGTCCAGAATGACTTCATTTTAACCTGATTACATTTGTAAAAGACCCCTGCCTTTGGTGCTAGGGACTGAACCTAAGACCTCTGTGCCTCTCAGCACATAATCTGCCTCTGAGCCCCGCCCTGGGCCTGTTACTGAATAAAGTCGCTTTCTTACACTCTGAGTGGGTGTGAATTTTGGAAAGACACTATTCAACCTAAGACAGATTCTGATGCTATGTTTTGTGTAGCTCAATGTTGGGTTCAGTGGAATGGCCTTTGAGAGCTCGAATTTGCATGACATAAGATGAATTGTAGGCAGCCAGAACTGCTTATTCGCTGAATGTTTTGTTGCTGTACCATTAGCAGGCCTGATCCATGTTTTTCACTAGAAATGTTCTAGTGCTAGAAATGTTCTAGGTTTATCCTGCTGTGTCCTGATCAGGATTTATTCAAGGGTATTTAGGTTTGCTCTTATGATCAGCTTTTTATTTTTAGCTCACAATAACAGCATGGCTTTCAGAAACCTTTATTGTTGAAACTTAAGAAATTTGTTGCTGTTAACACAGATCTTTCCTTTTCATTAAAATAGTTTTAATGCAATTTTAATTCTTAATACCATTCCAAAAGGTAGGCTTCCTAGGAGCATGACTATGGCGTATGACATGAAGATGGACACATCAGATTTTGGCTGGAAGTAATTAATCTGTAGAAACTGCCCGAGGCTTCTATATGCCACTGATACGAACCTTTTTGGGACCAAGTGCTCAAACTGCAGCTGAGAACCCACTCATTTATGACAAAGTGCCAGCACTGCAGTTACCCTGAACACTGACGTTTAGTTTACAAAAAGCCACTCGCACACCTGGCTTGCCGGCTGACCGAGAGGGCTCTGTGTGCCCACTGTGGCACATGTACCGTAGGTTTGCCACCCCTGTTGTATACTGTATTTCTAACAAGGATGTTTTGTTTAGAATAGTTGATGTGTTTGTGTGAAATTGTTTGAAACTTAATGGTTTTAAAGTCCATTCCGTAAGCTGTATTTCTCATTTATCTTCAGAAGGCTCCACATCTTTTGCTTTTAGTGTTGGAAATGTGGCCTAATCATCATTCTAGTTTTTTGCTGTTGTTGATGATGGTGCAGATTTTAAGAGGTTTGGATTTCACTTTATGAGTGTGGGAAGTTTTTTTTTTCTTCTTGTCTTTTTGAGACAGGGTCTCTCTATGCAATTCAGGCTGGCCTTGAGCTCACTTTGTAGCCCAGGCTGGTCTCGAACCCCCAGCGAACCTCCTGCCTCAGCTCCAAGTGCTGGGATTACAGACATGAGCCACCACGCCCGGCTCAATGTGGGAAGTTTTTGAAGGGTCTTGATCCTGCCATAGCTAAATGTTTTTGCTTGCTTTTGGTGAGTTGGGTTAAAGTTTGCTTGCTTTTGTTTTTTTTTCTTCTAGGGAGCCAAGACATGTGATACAATGGTTTTTAATCATCCTGCTATCAAGAAATTTTTGGAATCACCATCTAGGTCATCATCCCCTACCAATCAGAGATCAGAAACACCATCGGCTAATCATTCAGAAAGTGATTCTTTATCACAACACAATGACTTCTTATCTGACAAAGATAATAACAGCACTATGGATATGGAGGAGAGACTCTCAAACAGCTTGGAGCAGAGGCCACGCCGAAATGCTGGAAGGGTAAAGTTGGTGGAATGGGCGGGGCGGGAGTCATAGAAGGGAACTAATACTTGTTCGATTTAACTTCACAGGTAATCTAGGAAGGCAGGATGTTTTGCTTTTAGAATAGGGAAACTGAGTCTTGATAAGTTCCAGTTGTAAGTGTCCAATAGTATCAGAATTTTGAATTAAACCTGTCTCTAATTTTAGAGATTAAGGCTCCCATGTATAGGCAGCTCCTGGTTGTTGTCCTTATTTGCATGAAAGGACTCTTCAGCTCAGTGCCTTATCAGAGTCCTTCCTGCTCTCTTGTTTATCCCTTTTTTCTTTTTTTTTGAGACAGGCTGTCACTATGCAGCCCAGTACCCCATGCTGGCCTGGAATTTGCAGCAATCTTCCTGCCTCAGCCTACTGAGTGCTAGGATTGTAGGCACACAATACTGTACCCAGACTGTTTATTCTTTCAACTGGCTCTTAAGCCATTTGCTCTGTGAAACTAGGGTGCTGTAGGAGCTGGAGGAAGTTAGACCAATAATAAAAAGAATGCAAAATCAGTTATTAGGGTTTGGTCCTGTCAGCCTGTGAACTTGCATTTTCCTGCTCAGGCTGTTTTGGCTATGCAGTCATTACTGCATTAGACCCCTGGCTTTCCTCAGCCTCGTATTCTGGAATGGAGCATATTTCCAGCTTGATTTCTATATAGTTAGGCATCAAATATTTGAATGTTTTCCTTAAAAAGTTTTTTAAAATTTTTTCTCATTGTAAATTCATATGTGTTCATTGTTAAAAATTGTGAAATATGAGGCTGGAGATAAGCTCAGCAGCATAGCACCTGCCTGGCAAGTGCCAGGTCCTGAGTTCAATTCCTGGTACCACCAAAGGGAAAAAAAAAAGAAAGAAAGAAAAGAAAAGAAATTGTGAAGTACAAAAAGATAAAAAAGAAAATAACTTTTCTAAAGCATTCATGGTATTGATAGTTAAAAATTAAATCTTTCTTGTTTTTTCTCAAGACAAGGTGTTACAGTGTAGTTCAGACTGGTGTGTAGCCTGAACTTGCTGTGTAGCCCAGGCTGGCCTTAAACTCAGGTTCCTCCTGCCTCAGCCTTAGTGCTGGCATTATATGTTCACCATCATTCCCAGCTAAAAATTTAGCATTCTTAATGTTTGAATTTGCTTATGTTTTTCTAGAATTATTTCTCAGCAACTCTTGTAACCGTTTTTCTTCTGTAAAAAAAAACCAATTTAGATCATGTATACTAGTCATGAGATTTAAAAACTTACATGTGGTCATTTATATATTTATATTACAAACGTTTAGTGCTTATTGTGCCCCTAGCTCTTTTCTGGAAACTATACAAAACAGTCATAAAGTAGGTATTAGTAACATATTAACACTGTGTAAGGGAATTGAGGCAGAGAGTGTCATTATCTAAGATTACATATTAGTCATGGAAGGCCAGGATTTGTTCCCCAATGGTCTGTCACTATATTCTGACCTTTAATCACTTTATTTGTATTCTTGTTAAAACTATATTTTGATTTTTTGGGGGGGGGTGGTCTTTTTGAGAAACAGTCTTGCTTTGTGGTTCAGGCTGGCCTTGGGCTCCCTTTATAGCCCAGGCTGGTCTCAAACTTGCAGTGATCTTCCTGCCTCAGTCTCCCAAGTGCTGGGATTACAGGAATGTGCCACCCCACGCAGCTATGTTTCAATTTTTGAGACAGGGTCTTGCTGTGTAGTTTAGGCTGGGCTTGAACTCGATTCCCCATACCAAAAAAAAAAAAAAAAAAAAAGACAGTTGTTTAAAATAAAAGTTGTCATTGATTATGATTTGTTTCAGGATACTTCCAGTGTTACTGGTTCCCGTAAAACAGAGCAGCGGGACACTGATCTCACAGGAGATGAGACTTCACGGCTTTTTGTGAAGAAAACCATAGTAGTAGGCAATGTGTCCAAGTGAGTATTGGTTGAATCTCTGCTGTCCATTTATATTAAACTTCGGCACTGCTGTGTCCCCTCAGCCTGTACCACTGAGTGGTTTCAAGCTGCCCTGGGGTGAGACACAAATTACGCCCTGTGGTGAACATGTCACAACTCCTTGCTGCAGTATTTCAGTAGTCCACGGCCTCAGGAGTGCATTTTCCTAAGCTCTTGATTGTTTCAAAAGGAACCCATGGTCTGGAGACTGACTTAGAGTAAGCAGAGACACTTGGAATCTGGGTCTGCTGGGTTTCCCAGGGCAGTCCCTCTGCCGTGCCGCTCTGTCTCTGCTTCTGTTTCACACTGCAGCCAGGAGTCAGGGGAGATGTGGGCCCAGGGGGTCACTGGAGAAGAGGCAGTGCCATCACCTTGCATTTTCATGCGAAGTTTGTAACAGATGCTACTTAAAAGGGATGTTTTTCACATAGATAAAAAGAAACCTTACGCATTCCAGATTATTCTCCCTGGGAATCCACTTACTGGTTATTTTTTGTTATTTTGGGTTTGGTTGGTAGATTGCTTTTATTTCATTTTGTCTTGAAATGGGATTTCTTTTTTCTCCCTGTCTTTAAAAATCTAAAAGTCCTGTTAGTGACCCTGAAAGGGAGTCAGAGAGGTTTGACTCTTACAAATCATCGTGGCCTGAGACTCATTTGCAGTCATCCCTCCACGCAAACACTTGGGCATAAACACTTTCCAGTATCCTTGTATCGCAGTAAGAAAAGGCCACACGGAATAGTTTTCCCAACCTTATAAACCAGGACCCAAAGACTGGAGACCCTGGTTAGTGTGTCTGTCTGCCAGTCTTTGACTTAGAATAGAATTGTACCTGGTAAGGCTTTCAGAGACCTGAACGCTTGCACACATGCTCTATCGGGGCTGTAGATTCAGAGGAACTTTAGACTTCTAACCCCATTCTGTCATAAGGGCCTTAGCTAGTTCCTAAAAACGCTGATTTGCCTGCCCAAACCAAAGTATTTAAAAGGTGAAACAGAAGGGTGCAGAACAGGTTTTTTTCTTAATTTTTTTGAGACAAGGTCTCACTATGCCATTCAGGCTGACCTTGAGCTTACTTTGTAGCCCAGGCTGGTCTCGAACTCAGTAATCTTCCTGCCTCAGCCTCCCAAGTGCTGGGATTACAGGCATGTACCACCTCATCCAGTTTGCAGAGCAGGTTTTGAAGGCAGTAGAGAGCTGTGTCTAACAGTGTGTTCTCAAGCTGTCTTCATAGTTGTCTAATGTCTGGGGTTGGATGTTTTAATTGGAATATTATGCTATGAAATATTTAGTGTGGATACAGATATATAGAAGGGATTAAGTTGTTAGAAAAAAGTTGGTCATAGTGGCCAAGATTTTAAACATTAGCAGTTTTAACTAATTTCTTTATGAGGTTTTTATTTGTAGATGCTTTCATTAAGTATGTTTTTTGTCATTTTTATGTTATTTCCTAGTTTGTGTTTTTTTTCTAGAATCACTCTAGTGTAGGAACTAGGTTTTGGTTTTTGCCTGATAGTGCTTGATGTTTAGTAAACATTTGACTGGTAAATAAATCATTATAGCCTTGAAAATTGTGTTTAGACTCAGTTATTGAAAATAAAAGATTTGAGATGACAGTAGTTAAGTTGCCTTAGGGTCAGGGCCTCACAAGCTGGTTCCATGGTGGCCAAAGCTTCGGGCACGGCTCCCTGGGAGTGGTGCAGCTCTGGGTAGTGCTGCTTCTGCACCAGAAAGCCCCGTGTGCTACCCCCCGAAATCTTATTGAAATCAACCCAGGACTACAGGCTCCATAACCCAAGAATAAAACTATGCCAGTTCATTTCCACCTCACATACTCACTTGACAGGAAAAACAAGTTGGATTTTTTTCTTTTAATCTCAGACTGATAATCAGAAAACAAAACAAACTTTTGGGTAGTACCTTTCAGACTTAAAATATCCAAAAAAACCATTCTAGAAAGAAAACATGAAATGATTACAGAGACTCTTTGTTTTGCTTTGTTTTGTTGTTTTTTGTGTATGTTTTGTCTTGTTGGGTTTTTTTTTTTTTTTTTTTTTTTTTTTTTGAGACAGGATCTCATGTAGTTCAGTGACCAGCTTCGAATTCACTGTGATCCTCCTGCCTCAGCCTCCCAGGTGTTGGGATTACAGGTGTGCACCACCACACCTGGCCATGTTTTTTGGTTAAAACAGGGTCTTACTGTGTAGTTTAGGCCAGCTTTGAACTCACAATGATCCTTCTACCTCAGCCTCCCCTGGGATCACAGGCGTGTGCCACCTCACCTGGCTTCTTTGGTTAGGTATTACAGTTGTTAAATATTGCTGGAATTTTAATCTTGTTTTAAATGGGAGTTTATTATTACCATTATTAGATTTTTGAAGGAAAAAAGAATTCAATGTCCTTTCTTGTTCTTTTCTTTCCTCCAGGTATATCCCGCCAGATAAGAGAGAAGAAAATGACCAGTCAACCCATAAGTGGATGGTGTATGTGCGAGGGTCTCGCCGTGAACCCAGCATTAATCATTTTGTCAAAAAAGTGTGGTTCTTCCTTCATCCCAGCTATAAACCAAACGACCTTGTGGAAGTTAGGTAAGTGTACTCGATCTGTGCAGCCTCAGAAGCAGAGTCACTGACACGTGACAAAGTGATCTTGCTTCACAACATGGCGTGGGAATTCTTGTATTATTAATAACTGACCTAGTGTTGGCTCATGGTTGGCTCTGCTTTTCTCTTGCACATTAGTCTCCGGGAGCAGGCACTATCACTGTCAGATTTGTCACCATACTGATTACTTTAGCTTATTGCTCCCCTCTGTGAATACTCTGTTTACATTGATAGAGAGACATACACAATTTCGCCATTTATTATGTATAATGGAGTTAATAACAGAATTTTTTCCCCTTCTTTCCTTTTCCCCTCCACCTCCTCAGGTCCCCTTTCCTTTTGAACATTTTCTTCCTGATTTCATGATTTCTTTGCACATTTTGGTTCTTACATTTTCTGTTTCTCACACCAGAGAGAGTGCAGTAGTTACACGTGGTTAATAAAAGAATTCTCGGCGTGGTAAAAGAGAGAATACAAAGTAAAAATAGCCTTTATTCTAAGGATGTGGAGAGAAGCCCATGACCACTGGCAGCCAGGCTTTCTCTGGCCAGAACGTGGGGCATGGGATATATGTATAACCTCTGACAGGAAGTGACGCTTAGGGTGGGCATTAATGAGGCATGAGGAGCAGATTGGAACTTTCTTCACACACGAACAGGCAGGGGAGTTGCAATTAAGGCTGAGGAAGAAGCAGGAAGTGGTAGGCGGTCCTGTTTTGGCTTTCTGCGAGGTTAGACCACCACCAAAACCTTACAGTGATTTATACTAGGACAAGAACCATTCATCCTCGTCTTTGTATTGTTAGGAAAAGGGTGAAGTCCTTTCTTTACTACTTCCTGCTGAAAAGGGGGGCACCGTATTGGGATTTAGGAAGGTTGACAGGATGATGGTTGATGCCCATGTAGAAGCTGGTACCAAGTGTTTCAGCCAGGACAATTGGTGAATGCCTACGTCTTAGACTAGAAAAACAAAGACAAGGTGATACGAGGAGGAAGGCCACTATCATATTTAAGGACCCAGGTGAGGTAGAAGGAAAGGTGCCTTTGATTTAGATATGTCATTTCATCAGGACCATGGTGAGGTAGAATCATTAGCACGGTGAGATAGTATTCTGAAAAATCAGTGCAGGGTTAGGAGTGAAGTTATGAGAGATAGTTATTCCCCCATCTGAAAGGGTAACAGTTAAAAGTGTAGGTAGGTAGGGCTTGTCTCTGGTCCAGGTGTTGAACTGGAAAGAATAAGAGGTGTGGAGAGGGACTTGGCTATGTCACCGTAAGGGAGCTAAGAACCTAAACCCACAGGGATCTCATGTTTAACTAAACAGCTGTGGGTGGAAAGAACTAAGATATAGTGAAAAATTTAACTAATAGAATGTAAGGGTTCAGGAACCAAATAGGGTAACAAAACATGACTTAGCCTGAGAGTTGGGACTGTGAGACCTTGGTGAGTCAGAGATGAGTGGACAATAGAAGATGAGATGACCACTCAGAATGGTTAGGTTTAGGGTGGGGAGGGCACTGCTTGTCTTGAGTGATGTGAAACCAGGATGGGAGTCCAGCAACTTTGACTGCTGTTGGGGTTGCCAAGAAGATAGGTAGGGGTTGCTCCACCTTGGTTATAATCCTTGGATGATTTTATGTAACAGGACTTTAGTAAGTATATCCACAGTCTCCCTGGTTGTGGGAAAGGCTTTTATCTATCCTGAAAAAAAACAAACAACAGTAAGAAGATATTTGAGAGATTTGTGGGAGGGCATGTGTGTGAAATTGATGAATAGGAAAGGAAGGGGGTGGTATGTGTCCCTGAAGAGAGATTTTACTATAGAGATGACAGGTGTAAGTTACTGAGACCACAGAGGGTCTGGGTCAGTCTGCACAAACACAATGGAATAAAAAAGGCATTTTTAAGATCTATGACTGTACAGTGAGTGGTAGGGAGGGATGTGAGAGAGCATGGTATAAGGGTTTGGCACCAGTGGGTGGATTGGGGTAATGGCATTATTGATTACTCCAAGATTCTACACTAGATAATACCCATCAGGTTTGAGTACTGGAAGAATAGGAGTACCATAGGGTGAATAGGTTTAAGAAAACCATTGTCTAGGGGCTGGGGATTTAGCACAGCGGCATAAGCGCCTGCCTTGCAAGCAGGCAGTCGTGAGTTCGATCCCCGGTACCGATAAAAAGGAAAAAGACAAAAAAAAAAAAAAAAGAAAAAACCATTGTCTAAAAGGCGCTCAATTATAGGTTTAAGTCCCTGTAAATGTTTGGGAGCTTTGGGAATTGGGGAACACAAGGAAAAATTGAAGGATCCCTGAGATGAATTAAAGTAGGCGTGGCATGGATAGCACAGGTGGGATTGGAGTTATCTCAAACTATGGCATTGTCCAGAGAAGAAGGAAGTCTGGAACCTGCATGAAATAGGCCCTGTCTGCAAAGGCTGCATAGGTTGGCTGTCAACACCCACTATACAGGCTACAGACTTAATATAGTGGCCTGAAAACTTAGGAAGAACACTGTATATGGCCTCTGTGTCCACAAGTACAGAGAATGTCTTAGTTGAGATCTCTGGTGGGACTTCGGGCTCTGAGCAGGATACCTTAATGGAGGGCTGTGAGCCCCGAGCCCCGTCAGTCTTCAGCAGCAAGTTTGAATAGATCAGTCAGCAATGAATCCAGTGGTGATGAGATCCCCTATGAAGGCAAGGAGTTAGAGGATGGCTTATCTGCTCTCAGGTGGCTAGACAGTCGCTTTTTTAATGACCTTTGAGATTGCAATAGAGGCAAGACCCCAGAATAACACCGGGGTTGGGGCACTCTCTTGCCCAATGTTCTTTTTGTTGTACTTGAGGCATGGTCTGGGAGGGGCTCTGGCAGCTCCCCCTTGTCTTGGTTTACCTGTCTCAGAGCTCCAAGTGTCACTGCTAAAAGATCAGATTGTTATTTTTCTTTTTGATCTCTGTTGTTGAAAACATGAAAAGCCATATTAAGAAGGTCTCCCTGTGGGGTTTGAGGGCCAAGTTTAGCCTTTTGTCTTGGGATCTGGCCCACAGTGGAAGGTATCTGTCTCCTCCACAGTCATAAGCCATCTGGTTTTTATCTTGGGTAGGTGTACAGCTTTAAGTCTAAAGGAGACAAAGGCAAAGAATCAATTAAGTATTCAGGAGTCAAATAATACAATCAACAGGGTATTTATGATTATAGCTTTAGTAATGGCTTCCGAAAAGGAGGATAAGGATAAGGTCCAGGGAATTTTAAAGTCTGACATGTCATTCATTTGTCATTACACACATTTAGGTTTTACAATTGTAAAAGTATCTCCTGTGCTGTTAGAATGTCTAATGCCATCTGATTCTTGGAGGATGGCCTGTTTTATTAATTTTATCTTTTTATTTAGGAGAGAGATCAGCTGTGGTGTCATTTAATACCAGTTGAGTATAGTTAATTATGGCCCCAGTATGAATCATATAACCTTTTTTGGAAAAGATCTGATGAATCCCAGCAAAAGATTTATAATTATCTTAATTTCAGTTGTTGAACATCTAGAAGATTGGTAACAGTACAGTGCAGTAAACGCAGTAAGCTTAACATAGAACATTAAATGGAACTACTATTTTCTATTAACCATGCATGTTTTAACATTTGAGCACTGAAGAAACTGGTGACATTGTTTGGATTGCTCACTATTTAAGCATCTCTAATTATAACATATACATTATATAAATTTTTGTTTAAAAACTATCATTTGGTGATCTTATGTTGGTCTGTCCTGAATTTCCTGGCTGGAGCACAAGAAAAAGACAGATGTCTGGATCTGAAAGAAAACACTTATCATCATAAACAATCCCAATTTTATATTTGAAGGCGTGTCTCCCATAAAGCTATGTAGATTATTGGGGCTTCCAATTAATGAACAAGAGCTGGTTAAAGTTACCAGGTGTCTACTTTCTTGTTTATCAATTGAAGTCCTGTTCAGTGTCTCCTCACCCCAAGGGATTTTGTTTAACCAATTTTAGCATCATTCTGACCAGCTGGCAACCTAGGTGGAAGCATGTTTTTTTAAATCTATAAGCCAGATAATCTTGATTAAATGATCTGAAAATGTAAAAGAGGAGGAAAAATTATTGAGCTCAAATAAAAGGAAACAGCCGTTTACAGAGCAGGCAGATGGACAAACAGATAACAGATGTATAGACTGACAACCTTCTTATAAAATCAGAGTATGCTCAAATATGTTTGGCCAATTTGAACTATAATAAATAGACCAGTAGGAACCTTTTTGTAGATCAATTAATAGAGATCTCTTGAAATAAGAATACCAGAAAAAGAACCTAATTTTTGGCTAATCTAAGATAGCTCAGAGAGGAATAAAGGAACATGAATATTAGCTAATCCTTCAGGGCCAGCTTGTTCCTAAAGTGGGAGTAGAGATCGAGGCTGAGAAGGCTGTGGAGTAGATGGCCACCAAGGAGTAGAGATCGAGGCTGAGAAGGCTGTGGAGTAGATGGCCACCAAGTGGCCAACCGTCTGGCAGGCGTGTGGGGGCAATTATCTGATGATTGGTTATAAACCAGCTGCTCGTCACCATGCAACAAGGAAACGCAGGCTGTTGGCAGGTCACCTTGTGACCCGCAGCGGCCTGTTGCTGGCAGCATAGTGAGCATAACACGGCGACTCGTCATCATGTGACCCGCAGCAGGATGCCTGCTGTTGATCGCAGGAGGAATCACAAGGGAGTGGCCATTGACCCTGAGACCTATTGCAAGTTGGCGGTGCCCTGTCACATGGTGGACAGAGGGCCGCAAGATGGCAGCTGAGAACATATGGCCTGCCAGAAGGCTAGAATGCCTGAGACCACGTCTGGTGAGTGGCGGAGATAATGGCGATGCAGAGGAAGGGGACAAAGAGTCCTCCGACAGAACAGATGGCTCGGGTAGTGGGGATTGAGAAATTGGAGACGGGGAGAGGTGCTAAGGGAAGGACTGGA